ATATTATGATATTTAGATATTTCAACAATTCTCATAATTTTTGCAAAAGGCTGTATGTAACTTAGTAATAATATTAAAAAGTAATTGACTTTGCTTTGTTTTTCAGAATTATCACTTATTACTCTACACTGGTTTTTGACAGCATTTGCCAGTGTTGTACATATGAAGGTATTTTACATGACAAAACTGATACTGTAATTCTCTGCTTGCATAGTTTCTCTCTTGTCGTTGAATTAAACAGTTAATTATTTTACTTCAGATATTGCTGCGCATCTGGGATATCTATTTTTATGAAGGTTCAGTCACTCTCTTCAGAATTACATTGGGAATGCTGAAACTCAAGGTATAATTAATTGATGATAAATAAAGATGATAGAGATAGATTTCTAGAGCACATTACAGAACTGTCTCTTAACTTCWTATTTGATGTTATTTATTCCAGGAGGATCTCATTCTAACTCTTGATAACTCAGCACAGATATTCAATGCATTATCAGATGTCCCTGGTGATATAGACGATCCTGACCTTTTACTCAAGGTATATCTATTTATCAATCATTACACCTTTTTAATACGATTATATCAAATATCACAGTAGTACAAAAAAAGACATAATAATCAGCATTTCACATGTTGTCAAGGATTTCATTTTATATGACAAAGTGAACCTCACTATGATTGATAAATTATATTATAATTATAAATTTGATAATACTATTTGTCTGAGTAATGGCCCAGTATTGTTTGCTGTCATTTGCTGGGATTCATTACCAATACTTAGAGAAAACAAAGAGTTTGCCATCTTTCAATGATTTTTTTCATAAATGTTAAAGTTTATTGCAACTTTCATTCCCAAAGCTAGCTGCTAGGTTTATACTTGATAAAGTAATTATAGTAATCAATATATTTGTGTCTGTTATCTTAGTCTGCACAAAAGGCATCTGCTTCCCTAACAGAGGTCATCTTGGATGCTCACAGAAAAAAGCACTTGGCATTTTTAATGGCTGATCTTGGTGTGCTAGTAGACAAAGAGTCAGGGAAACACCTTACTAGACATGTAAGCAGATTAAACACTGCATAATATGAACAAAGAGATTGAAAAATACAATGGCTGCATGCACAACCGTCTGCATGATCTATAATTATATCAAAGCATACAAACTAGTTGTGTTTGGAGTTCATTTACAATAACAAGATGGCTGCTTGGGGCATCTTACAAAACTTCATTGCAGTTATTTTCTTTATTTTGTTTACAGCAAGTGAATAGAAGACAATTGAGCACACATCGATCTTTTTTTAATTTATTATTTGGTAAGTTTTGATTAGATACAATGTAATAGTAATTACCATTCATAATGGTGCTYGAAACTGTTATTATTTAATAGTCTGAGCCTAATTGTTTTGGTAGTTGTCATAATCAGTGGGACATTGAGAGGAAAATATTGATATGATTATTTTAATATATTATTATATTGATTGATGTCTTTTGTGATAATGAATGGTAATGTCATGGAGAATCAAGACACATAAGACATTTTGTAGATATTTATCTACATTGAAAAATCCACAAAGATTTGATTAAAAATAACCCTTTGTAAAGGACCTAATTAGAGGTCAAGAGTGTCTGTTTTGGTACAGGTGGTACTACATGTATGATACAGTGTTTTTATTGAAGAACATGTCATGGAGATACTAAAATGTCTTTACTTGCAGGGAAAAGTCACATTTCACTAGAAAAGGCAAAGAACATCAAGCAAACAGGTCAGTTTGCACTCAAAATTTGTTATTTGACTTGTATTTTCACTAAAAACTTGTGAAGGTTAATATTACTTGTAAATAAAATTTAATTTATTGTGTTATTTTCATATTGTATAATTATATTTTCTTATAAATATTTGTCATTGTTTCAATAACATAATGAAATGTCATAAACTATAAATGCTCCTTTTTGTTTTATGTAGAATTTGTGGCTGATCTTAGAGAAGCCATTATACATATTGCCAAGCACTTTGATGCCATTGACCCTAAAAAGGTAAAGATGATATTAATACTAATTGGTAGACACAGAGTTACAGTATGTTAAACTCATAAACTTTTGAAGATAGTTGAGGATAGTTAGGAAGTAAAGGTTATCTTATGCAGCTTGTCAATAAATGAGCAAGTCTAAAGTATTTCAAACCTTTTTATACAGTACATGTATATCACCTTATATCATTGTAAGATATTTTATAAACAATTAAATTGTCATGATGTCTCATCATTGCAGGGACTGGAAGTTGACTATTCTATGGAGAGTCATGCCAGGGACCAYGAACGATTCATCAATGTAGCAAGGTACACAACACAGCTTTCGTTGAACCATCAGTGCCATTGTTATTGGAAAAATCATGTAATATTAATGTATTATGCTTGACATTATTGTTTCAGAAATCGAAGGAGAAGGGCCAAGGCACTGCTTGACTTTGAGAGGCATGATGATGATGAGCTTGGATTCAGAAAAAATGACATTGTTACTGTAAGTGTTGCATATTGGTCACTATTGTTTAGTGGGCAAGATTGTGTGAACAGGCATTTGGGGCTGGAGAGCCTAAGTGGGAGGGAAAGCAAGCAATGTCTGGCATATACAACAAATCAAAACRTCAGACCAAATTAAAAGACATTGTTCTTGTTCGAGATAACTYTAGTTCAAGTAACATCACAATTAGTGCTTGGATAAGTAGCTCTTTATTTCAGAACAATTGTTAYTTCAATTTGACTGATATTTTTTAATTTGGCTCATACATGTATGCCAGACATTGTTTGCTTTCTCTCCCACTTAGGCACTCAATCCCTAACTTAGTCTCTTCAGTTTTGGTTTGCATTTAGTTAGACATAAAAGAAA